CTGTTATTCACAGTTTAAATTTAAAAGCTCAAATGCTGTACATGAGAGGTTAAGCTCCTCCTGGCGGTTTTACAAGGTGATGCTGGATACTTTCCGGCATGACGTCAAATGACGCGATTAACCCCGTGATACTGCGTGATACCGCGACACGCCCACCGGGGTATACCGCAAAATACCCCACCCATTTTGAATGGCTGCATCTGCATGAAAAAAAATTGCAAAACTACTGTCGCGGGTCTGGAGGGGACAACAAATGTGTTCTTTGCATCCCAGGTTATACAGATATTAAAGTCTTATTTTATTGTATTTGTTTTTGAGTCTTTATAACTTCTGTTACATTACACATTCCTGTCAAATCAGAAACAATCCGCTCCTCTAATAAATATTGCAGAAAATGATAAGTTGTTACTTTGTTACGTTTTGCAGTATAAATAATACATGTATTTATGATATAATTGAAATACAGCAAAAACAAAACAAATGTAATAGTATGCAGGAAATGATTGTTAATTTGCCTTATTGTTGACTTAAAAGGTACAGTAGTGAGCTCAGAAACATATCCTTTCATTTCAGATAATGGCCTGAAAAAAATCCACCCAAATCTTAGGTTAGCCAGGAAATCTGTAACAAAAAGCACATATTGAATATTGTAAAAATTAGTAATACATGCTGCGTATAATGTAAAATAAATACTTGTTGATTTTCTTTGTGTACAGTATATGTACTGTACTACATGGAATACCTAGGGCTGTATTATAAAAACTACAGTATATACTGTATATCAGTGTATTGCAGTGAGTAAAATATGTTTTTATTTAATAAACCTAGCAGTAAAACTCAGTATGTTATTATTTAGCAAGGGCAGTATCTCCATTTATTGTGCTTCTACCTGCTTGTATCTTTGTCTTCACAAAGTCCACGTGAAATCAGAATACCACATACTGTAAGGAGTAGTTTCACAAGCCTTTTTCAGCCATGGTAGTCCAGGGGTAGTGATAATTAGGATCAGGGAAACCACAATAAAATGTAGAAACTCAAAAGTTACATTTTAATTTACTGAACATACTGTAACTTGGTTACGTTTAAGCAAACCTAAATGCCAAATAAAATAGGCAAAGCAGCTAAATAAAAGCAATCTTGTCAATAGAACCAATGGAGATAGTGCTACTAAATTTTGAAAACTGCAAATTTTAAAGGTGACGGCTATTAATATACAAATGAGCAAGATAAGATTTTTTTATTATGCCACAGTGCCAATCTGGTGACCAAAATAGTACATAATATTCTAAATGATGTCTTACTTGTGCAGTATAGTTTAAGCATAACATCACTAGATTGATTCAAATTTAATGCTTTTAACTTTTATACTGTATGTTAATATTTCAGGTGGGTAGCTGCGTCAGCATGCGTAGGCTGCAAAGGAACAAGTAATAAGTTTATTCCATGCTGAAAAAAAGAAGAAAGAGAACACAACGTTTCGGCCGTGGAGCCTTCTTCAGGTGTGAGAGAGACAGGGCAGTAGGCAAAGGTAAAGTAGCGGGAGAACAAAGGTTGAGAGGGAGGAGGAGTGAGAGGCGGGAGCAGGGGACAGAAAGAGAGGCCAATCAAGAGGTTTTCAGCATGGAATAAACCTATTACTTGTATGTTAATATTGTTTGCTTTACGTAATGTCCTAAGCAAAAGGCTTTAATAATTAAGTGTATAAATCAAAATGATCATTTAAGCTTTATATGCAGATGATTTTTACTTTGAAAAATACATTTTAATACATAAAGTATGTTTCTGGTATTATTAAATAAATCCCAGTTTGTATATTCTACATTATACTGTAGCTTTAAACTCTACTGATAATTCATTTCTGGAGTGCATGCTGTTGCTGAATGCAAGTGTTTTACAGTTTACAGAATATTTAATATATAACATTCATAAAAAAAAAACTTTGTAAAGTTTATTATAAATTCCCTAAATGTAATAAATTCATGCAATTACTGTGGAAAACGTTCCAGAGTTACAAATAGAGTTCACAGATATGCCCAAAGTGGGTTACCATTTAAGATTTTCCACCGTAAATTTATTTAGGTAATAATTAAAAATGTCTTTGTATTATGTAAGGCTTTTCATCCCAAAGGATCTCTAAGTACTCTATGCAAAATAATAATCTGCTTCATCCATCACAGAAGTGCTACACCCACCTGGTGACACGCAGCAGCCATTCTGGGCCAGCAGTCCCACTAAACTTCAGGTAAAGAAATGAGAAAATGCTTCACTAATTGAATTAAGGGGGGAATCTGGATTTGCTGTGTTGTACATGATGAGGTTTAAAACCCCTACTCATCTGAAGCACTGGAAATCCTATATTGGAGTGTCCTTGGTATGTGTTTTTAGTCTATCACTTAAAATTTTAGCAATCACATAATTTTACTGTGTGTGTGAGACTGTTTAAAATCCCCTGCATGTTTTTTAAAGTACTTAAAAATCCACTGTATTTTGCATTGATTATCATCATTCTTATATTACCAGATTATTTATTTATAAGGAAGAGAAATCTGAACTAGATGGTTACATAGGCATATAAAAGAAAACTTGTGACATTGAACTGGTTTTGCATCCCAACTGTGTCTGAGACAAACAGTTGCAGTACTGGGAACAATTTGATGGCTCTTTCAAATTACTGTATGATAAGTTTATACTCTACAGCAAAAGGCCAAATTTAAGTACAAGTCTCCTGGGGTTTGATTTTAACCTGTCACACAAGAGGATGCTGGAGCCATTGTATTTGTGTGACATCTCAAAGGCAGCATGAACATCAGCTGGCTGATTTCATGCTGGCATTAGACCTACTGTATATGCTAACATTTTTTCTGGTATTCAGAAAAATCCCTTTTATCTTTCTCATTTCTAACACCTTCCTAGCAGTCTCCCTTTTAATTAAAGATAAAAATACCTCAACATATGGCTTTTAGAATTGCAGTTACCTACACATAATTATGCATATGAGCATAAAATTAATATATCCAACTCTCAATAATCCTTATTAAGAGGCATTTTAAATATAACAATCTTTTCTAGTAATTCGACGACATATTGTAATCAAAGATAAAGTTGACACAAAATGAACAGCATCGAATCTGGTTTCAAACCCAAGAAGACTGCTTTTTGAAAGTGACTTACAGAGAAACTGTTAAAAACTGGAAAATACCAAAGCATAATTATTTGAAGAATTATGTATTATAATAATAATAATAATTAACTTTTATTTATACAGTAGCTTTACAAACCCAAGAACAATGAAGTGATTGCATTTGCTTGGAACATAACCCAACGGTAATGCTTTGACAGGTATATGGTACAGACACCTGTACCATATTACATCTTAACAGATGATTCTTAGCTATCAATTAAACTATCATCTAGCTAAAGCTAACCATCCATCCATTTCCTAACCACTTTATCCAATACAGGGCTGCAGGGGAGCAGGAGCACAAGGCAGGAAACACCCTGGATGGGACGCCAGTCCATCATGGGCAGACACTCACACCACAGGACCAATTTTCCCAGTACCCAATTAACCTACCAGTATGTCTTAGGATTGTGGAATGAAACTGGAGAAAACATGGAAAAACAAATTTTTATGCAGATGGCACCCCAGAATGTCAACCTAGGGCTCCAGTGATTTGAGGTACTGTAACAATGCTCGACGCTATCTCAAACCAATGCACATTCTTGTTCATTTCAATTAAATTACTTAGCAGAAACAGAACTACTGCCCACTTACCGTTTTAAAAACGACAAATGACAAATTAATGCTGCAATTCATGTTAATCAAAACAACAAGTGAGGACAAAGCTCATTTTATTACGTCACACTGTTTAATGTGAACCTTTATCATTTAATCAAGAAATCTAATCATTTGTGCAGCGGTCTTCAATTCTACGCTTTAAAAGAACAGGCAAGTACAATTTAAATGCAGCAAAGTATTTAGCTTAAAGCATAAGCAAAAAAAGAACCTGCATGGTATTGATGTTTCTGAGTACGTTTATGAAGCACACTTCAGGTTTATTTGATAAACTTTCAACAAGATTTACGTCTTCCAAATTAAAGTTCCTATTTGTTGTTAATATATTATGTTAAAAGGACACTGCAATTAAGAGAATGCTGCAGGTAACATGGTCATTGTGTACAGCCATGAACCTGTATGTTAGTATACACATCTCACTGTTACTACAAGTAACAAACCAATAACCAAAACCATATTCGGCTTATACTGAATATAACAATTCTGCATGCCCTTGAGTATAGATAAGAAGCCCAACACTATAAATATTTCTTTTAAAAATAGTTAACATCTGATATATTTGAATCCCTCCAAAACGATTTTCTCGAAAAAAAAAATTACACTACAAAATCACCACTTTTATGAGCAGAAAACTGAAACAAGCAAAGCCATAAGATTTGAAAGCCATAAGAAAACATTGTTAAAAATCGAATTATCATAGGTGCAGGTTGTACTCTGGAAGCAAAGGAGGATTTCAATAGAGAAGATAAAAGAAGCTGTTCTTTAAACTTATTTGTTAAGCATGAAGAGATAGAGGCGTAAGTACAGAACACACAAATTATTTTCAATCATAGCAGAGAACAATCATGACCACTTCCACAAACTAAGAACAAAACTAAGAGAAACTAGTTCTAACCACAACTGTTCCAGAGTTCTAAGATTTATTTAAAAACTTTAATTTTTAACCTTCAATTACTGAAGGTAATGGCTTAGGTGTTTACAAAGAAAAAAAAATAAAGTTGTGAAATAATTTAACATTTAAGAAAAGGCAGTAAAACAGACCACAGTAAAAAAAATCATTTATTCCACAATCCTCTATATCCTTAAGGTGTCAATTTGGAAACATATGATCTGAACTGAAAAAAAGTAATATACATTTTTAGAATAATTTTAAAATGACAGACCTCACTGAAAAAATATGCCAAATTATAAGGTCCTTTATTAAAAAATAAAGATATTAAGAAGGTGTATATGAAAGGTGAAAGTGTTTAAATGCAAGGTGGATCACCGTTAGGCTTTAGACTTCATTACAGCTATTTTTGTAAGTGTATAAGATCACCAGGCCTTTTAAGCATAAACACATCACATCATATCCATTTTGACACTTGAGAAACAGTTGTTTCAAAATTATTTTTCTTCACTTCTGGTTTCATCAGCTTCTTCCTTATTCTCACTTGTATCTTCAGCATTTCCATAGCTCAGACCAGTACGTTTCAGGAGATAAACAGCAGCGTGAAGCCCACCGACATTCACCCACACAGTGTGGGACTTCCGCCAAAGGTATCCCATCTTAGACACAGCCTAAAAAAAAAAACATGCAGTAAAAACAATTAGATAGCATCTACCTCCTTTGTCTTAATGCTGTGTTTCAGTAATTCCAAAGCACCTCTATTTGTCCTGTTGAATAACCTATTTCAAGATAACATCAACTTCCTCGGGTGGCACGGTGACACAGTGATTAGCATTGCTGCCTCACAGTGCTGGGGTCCTTGGTTCAATTCTGACCTGGGGGCCCAATCTGCACAAAGTTTATATGCTCTCCCCAGGTTCACATGGGTTTCCTTCCACAGACCAAAGACCTACTGGTAGGTTATTTGGCTTCTGGGAAAAATTAACCCTGGTGTCAGTTTGTACACTGTGTCTGTGTGTCTGCCCTGCAGTGGACTGCTGTCCTGTGCAGGGTATACCCAGCCTTGTGCCCATTTCAATGCTGACAGTACTAGCTCAAGCAGAACAGAATTTCCTTTTTACTTATAGGTGCAGTAACAAAAAAAAAATCGAAATATTAAAGGCGATAAAAAATTGAAATCATAAAAAAGGTCACCACCTTAGCAAAGCATTTCTTGTCTTGAGTTAACAGCACAGCCTTCCCTGATCCTGGTCTGCAGACTCGTCCCATTTCTTTCAGGCAGGAGGGATATAAATCCCAGTTCTTCTTTTTAGAGCCCATTCTTCAGTAATCAAATACAATAATTAGTCAGATAATAGCATTGTAAATTCATAATATTACACGTATTTTCAAAGGGTTTCAAAAATATTCCTTTAATAGGGGATTTTAAAAACATTTTATTCTAGGGAGGGCAAAATATACCCACTAAAAGTATTTTTTGGAAAATAATTAAAACAATAACCATATACTATTGATACAGAACAACACAATGACAATATTAAATAAAATGAGTGACAGACTTTTCTGTTAAATTAATTTTTTAATATTATATTATATTTTAGCTCAGAACCCATTTATCATTTATGTATTTGCCCTAGTGCTTAGGTGGAGCATAATGTCTTAAATATTGTCTTGCTTAATGCACAGTTACAATCTGGCACTCAATGCCAGCTGAAGGAAGGACAAACACCAAAGTTCATATTGCATAATTACACTATACTGATGAGCCCCTGTCGAGGTACAATTTGAAGTGCTGGGTACTGGACCAAAATAGCAGAAAATCTTCCTTTTAATTTTCTTAGCACGGAGATTTATAAGTTCATCAGAAAAGTTTAGATAATGTCACTGGAAAACATTAAAGAAACCTAAGACATTGTGCTGTACATTTCATGTGTTGTTTCAAGCTTTAATTGAGAAACAAAGCTATTGCCACCTGCTGGCACTCTCCTAAACCAGTAGTTAATCATTTATAATTCTAACTCAACTGTGTGTGTGCGTATGGCAACACTGTATGTGGAAACTCTAATACTGAATAATATTGAAATGACTATTACCCTGGGAAATAAAGTAGATCTTAAAAAGCTGTGGATCTTTTTAATAAATATAACAAGTAAAATGCATTTTTTACTGTTTTTGGGCAACTGCAGGTTAATCATGGTTTATTAAAAGGAGAGAGAATAAATGCAAATTGAAGTGAAAAACCTTATTTGAAGCTCCTGCTTTAGACTAAGAACCTAGAGGTTTAAAGCTGTTCTATTTTTTTTTTAAAGCAGCAGCAGTCAAGCACTTTACCTTTTCCCAAAAGGCATGTCCGTTATGATAATATCCACAGAGCCAGTCTTCATAGGAAGATTGCACAAGTCCCACTGTACAGTATCTATAGGTAGACCCCAGGCAGTACTGGATATAAAAGTACCAAATAACATTTCATACCAAATAATGCAGCAAAACACAATTTGTAGTATAGATCACCAAGTAGAGAGATAACCATGTAATGGCACATCGTACATCATTTTGAATTGTTTTCCTCCATATTTATCACATAGCCACACAGCTTTTATTTCTTATTTTCAAAACTCCTTCAGATGCTCTAGAGATCAGGTATAGATGCAAACATCTTAAGCAAGTCTTGTTCTGCACCCTGCATGCTCCTTTCTTCTGATTATTAGGCCTCTGTTTCAAAATACTACACAGATTTACATTAACAGGGACTTGGGTTTCAAGAAGCAACACATCCCAAGTGCTTCTGCTCATTCCAGCTAATCTCTAAGGGTAGAGCAACAAACTGTGTGGGCTAAATCTAATTTCATTTTCAACCGTTCACTGACAATAAATGTGCTGCCCAAGTAAAAAAACAGAAACGCAGAAATTAAAATCTACCTCAGAAATTAGGTAGATTTTATATCCATTTTAAAAACAGATTTACTAGTTTTAAACATTCAATATTTAAATAGTGTTCCCTTACCCTTCCTTGCTTTGTCTTTTCTTATGGATATGATTAATATTATTCCCAGTCCGGTTTACAGCCATTCCATTGTTGTCTCCAGCCATATAGAAAGAATGTGGCCATTCAAGTGCCCCCTGATCAAACAGCATATTTAATTCAATTAGCTGTCACTCTAGTATCACTTTTACTGCTGTAATTTTCAATAGTACTTACTGAAGTAATTTTCATCAGTGGAATTTATGTTGTCTGAAACATTCATCCAAGAATAAAATAAAGTTTAAACTGATATATTCAACCTTAAAGCTATATTGGTCAAGTGCGGATTGTCGCACGAAGATGAGAATAGGCTGAAGCTAGAAGTGACACAGTAAGGCAAGTTTCTATAATGCACCCACACTCCTCTTTTTCTATTTGAATGTCTCTTGGTGGATTTGGAATTATTTCTGGGAACTAATGTTTGAAATGCGTTCAATGTACTTCATTGTATGCACCAAACAGAACTGTGCAGTACTTCTAGCAAATAAGGAATGCAATCTGGATTGTAGTGTAAGAAGCACCTTCATCTAAAGCGTTACAATTGTGCAAAAGCAAAATGCAAAAACACAGGACAGCAAATATTGTAATTAATAAAAATATAACAAATGGCCTTGAAGGCATGTAGACAAAAAAACATACCTCTAAAGGTATTGCTCCACTTCCACACATTGGATCAACTATAACATCTGATATTTGGGGATTACAAAGCCTGTATTAAAGAGAATGAAATAACAATCAAAGCCTGCACATTACTCTGTGGTAAAAAAAAAAAAGTTACTTAGTCAAACAAAATCCACAAAAACAGTTTCCACAATCAAAACTCAAACCCTACAGCTTTGTATTTTAAAATATGGTTTACTTGTAAATAACCTCAGCATTCCATAAGCCAGAGTGGATCGAAGGGTCGTCGGCCCAAAATGAGTTATGTTTCTTCTGTGAAGGCTCTCTTCGGTTAGGGCAATGCCAACCACCACCTCATTATTATGGATATTTAGCAGAACCTGAAGGAGATGTTTTTTAATTAGAAAAAGATCTACTGGTACTTGCATTGGAACAAATGTTTGTGGGGAAACAAAAGCTTTCATTTTTGCTTTCTAAACTACAAAAGATCGGTCTTCTAGGAAAATGCAAACTACATGCTATGTTCCTTAGCTAAGAACATGACCTATAAGTTTTAGTAATCTTGTATTTTCAAAAAGCACCAACAGTTTTTGGTTAAGAAACACTGCATGTTTTTGGTGATCTGTATGTAATTAAATGGCATTGCAGAAGCTAAGGAATATTCTAATTAAGTGAACAGGGACCACTGTAATTTATAAGCCTTCAACTTGTGTACCTTCATTTTACTGGAATGATAATACAAAAGCATGAGGATACCTCTATGTCAAACCTGGTCATATCTGGTTTCCACTGGAAAAGGTCTTGTACAGCTCCCCCAAAGTCTCTTGCAGCATCATTTGAAGTAAAATTGTGTTTGTCACCAGCCCTGTTACAAGTCACACGAAATTTAAGCAGCTTAGATGAGCCCTCTGCCTCTGGCCCTTCACAGTCTTTACCACCTTCAACCACATCACCATTCCCTGAGGCTGAAGCAGTTTCTGCAGATATCATTTTCTTCCCATCTTTTACATCTTGAACATCATCTTTTTTCTCATCAAGATCACTAGAGATTTCACTGGATTGTTTTGACTTCGTGTGGCTGCCTTCTGCTTCTGTATGCGAGTCCTCCCTCTTGACCAGTGTTTCAGAACAAGAATCTTCACTGCCATTTTCTTGAACTGCAGCAACCGAGGCTTCCTTAGCAGATGCTGTCTGACTTATTTTCTGTCGAGATCGCTTTTTCTTTAAAGAATTATTTATTTTCCACACTTCCAAAGGCCATTTCCAAGGGAGTTTAGCAGCAAGCTTCTGGAAGTCTTCCAGAGTTTCCTCCTGTCATGAGGAAGAATAAAATGAATTGGGCATACCAGAATCTACTAGATCAAATGCTTTGTAACAAAACATAGTGAAGGGTGGGTCATGCATTTTTTCCCCACTCATAAAGGAATGTTCTTAGTAGGTACCATAAATCACTGCAGAGTAGGGCAGTATTAAAATAAAACTAAAAAAAATGTGACTGCAGGTTTCAGATTAAGCAATGCCTACATACTAAAATCCATCAAAGGGATTTTTTGTTGGCATTTGGAAACTACAACATCAGACCAAACATACCTTTGTGTCTTTAAAACAATAATCTGAAAACTCCTCCACCACAACGAACAAATTGTCGACTGATCTCAGGCGATGAATCTAAAAACAAAACGAGATGAAAGGTGAGAAATCAATTACCTTCGTTATTAAAGTACCGGTTGAAGAAGTAATGTATGCAAATCACAGTTCTTACCTGAGGCAAATTTACATGAGTGGTTTTGAAGTATATCCTACCACGGTCCTTACTTATTCGAACATCAGTGCCTATTTTTTCCCCGACTTCTTCTGCGGCCGAATGCTCAAATCCAGTAGGAACTGTGGCCCCAATCGTTACGGTTATTGGATCTTCTGGATCAGGGCCTTCACCAGCACGTTCTAGCCCTTCTGCAGACATTGTAACTGATTTACCACCTTCCTCCTTCAGTGACTATGATTGCTGAGTAACAAAGGAAGAAAATGCCAGTCAAAGTGCACATGAAATATAGCATACATTTAAACAGAAGATCCAGCTACTGTTGCACTCCAAATGGATGTAGAATCAAAACCCAACATGAATAAAGGATGGCTCATCATTCCATACGTTTTTTTCCCCGCTTCATTTTGTTGTTGGATGAATTAAAACTTTTAATTTATTTTCATACACATGCAAGATAACGTCACCAAACGTGAAAGCTGTGTACATTCCTAACGTAAAGCACTAGTATTATTTAGGTACTCCCGGACTGCAAGTTTTGTAAATAAAGGTAAACAGGTGACCTAACAGAAAATAATATGTAGCAAAAAATAACACTTTTTTTAGGTGACTCAAGTTTTTCCTTTGCTGGCTGGTTACTTGCCGAGTCCTACCTTTCATTTTGTGACAGCAATTTAAAAAAAAACGATGCTATGTTAATTCGTAAAACCGGATGAATTAAATTCAATTAAGCCTGTTTCCCGTTAACGAGGACAGAAAATAATTAAATATCCGCATTCCAAAATGCACAGTATTTTGAAAACGCAAAAGAAAAGGTAGGAAGATTGATTCATAAAGTGAGTGATGTTTGCGGCGATACATTAATATTGTTTTCAAAGAAATAATCTTTTTAAAACTTGTTTAAAAACATGCTTTCATTTCATCGACTCACCTTCCTCTTCCTCCGTCCATGTGCGCAATGAAGGAAGTACTTCCGGTGTGAACAAAAATAACACGCATACCAAAGCGCACCTTTTTATTTGCGTACACCCTTACTTAATATAGTCAATTGATCACTAAATTGTTTCGTTTTTTTGTTTTTGGTTTTATGTTTATTCAAACAGTGTGTTTCTGTCTACTAAAATTCAAACTTATAACACTAAGAATCCCATGCCTACCGAAGATTAGCGCAGGTATCTCATGATCAACATAACATAGAAACTGTAAATCCAGTTGTATTTTTGCAATCATAGTGATCACGTTTGTCTTGTTTTTTAAAAAAAATCCACTACTAGACCAATTTATAAGAGCTGAATACATCTTGCAAATAAGACGCGGTAATAGTAACCGACCGGTAGAGGGAACTGTTGCTCGTCAAATCGAAATCAATTGCGGTTGTTTACTATATGGTTCTTTGATTAACGATTAAATCTTTACAAAGTTAAAAAGGTAATATTTTTAATGAAGTAACTTAGAGATCATTTGGGACCAAAAAAAGAAAACCCTTCTGCCCCTTTAAAAACAGTAAAATTATAAATCAAAATGGATTGGGGATCTCCAGACCCAGGGCTGTTACTCTTACGTGCCTCTTTTCATTTGAGAGGAAATCTTAAAAGACACCCAAGAATAAAAAGTATTTACTTACACAATCAAAAATGTAAACTGACTTTTCTATTATTTTCTTTCCAAAAAAGCTAGTTCAGACACTAAAGAATCTAGCTAATTGAAAATCTTGTAGAAATTCTGTTCATTTTCAGTCCTGTACTTAATGTTACTAATACCATCACTAGGACAAGTGGACTGAAAGGGAATGGATGTAACCAATGTATTACGTTTTTCAAACTCTTTAGGCTGAATATGCATAAGCACAATCTCTTTCTCTTTCTAGTTCATGGGTTTCCTTGGAACTATTAGCATATAAGAGTTCAGTAGGCTCTTTTAAAAACAATAAGTATTGATGGATTCCATACTAACAAGTCCTACTCCACTGTTGACATTAATTTGTTCTAACGTTAAGCTTAAATCTTTATTTAATTAAAAAGAGCAAAGCTATTTGTTGGGGCTTTAAGTTAGGCAAACATTCAAGAGAAGAGAACAGGGGTATTGATCATTATTTTTCACTAAAATGCTAATGCATTATGCATAATGTTCCCAGTTAGCCTCTGAAACAACCTTTTAAGCACATTTTTATGCCGTTTGACCACATTCAAAGCCATAACGTTAGCAAGCTCAAGTTCAACTTCAAGTTTATTGTCATTATAGTCATATACAGGTATATGGTATATGCTATTTAGCTAGCTCTCAGACTATAAGTAGTACAAAAAAAAAACAATACAATTGTATAATAAAAGAAAGACAGAGACAACAGGCAGTGTGCAAAAACAACAACAGGCAATGTGCAAAACAACAAAAAGGTAACAGGTAATGTGCAAAAACAACATCAGATGTGCAAAAACATGCATCAACAGAATGAAATAAAAGGATAGAAATTGTGGGGAGTAATCTTTTTTACATGTAAGGTAGAGGGAGATTTCAATGTGTGTTTGAGTTTTTGGTAAGAAAGAAGGCACTGTGAGGTTTAGATCATAGGTGAGAGGTGAGGTGAGAGTGAGAGAGGCTGGGAGTTTAATAGTTTGATAGTGTGCGGGTAGAAACTGTCTCTGAGTCTTGTAGTCTGGGCCGGAATGCTCCGGTACCGTTTTCCAAATGGTAGAGTGTCATACAGTCTGTAGCTGGGGTGTGTGGGGTCTTTGATGATGCTTAGAGCTTTCCTCAAGCACCATCTGTCATAAATGTCCTGTATAAATGGGCGGGCAACCCAGGTGATGGACTGGGCAGTTTTCACCAACCGCTGTAGGGCTTTGCAGTCAGCAATACTGCAGTTGCCATACCACACTGTAGTCCATATGTGGAATGTCATTGTAGTTAAAGGTCCAATTTGGACCTTGGTATAAAATGTCATCCAGGACACTTTGTAAAGTAAATCTCATTAAACATTATAGTGGTTTTTAATTTGATAAGAAGTAGGATCAAGAAAAGGTTATACACCAGTATGTTTTGCTTAGGGATATCAAATTGTCAAGCTGAAAGGATATCAAATTGTCAAGCTGAAAGTTTTCACACGAGGAAATAATGTACTCAGAGGCTACACAAGACAGCGGTGGACATTCATTCTCTCAACGAATGGTCAAAATAATGCAAATGTAAAAATCCTGAAATCATTCTGTTATATAATTTATTTCTTTTATTTTTTTTCAATGCTGCCACTCAGTAGAAATCCTGAAAAAAATCCAAGTATATTCAAAATAATATTGTATTACAATTCAAATACTGGACAGCGGTTTTGTGACTGATCCTTCACAATATTTTCAGAGGTAATAACTTGCCTTTAAACTAAGACAAAGGTGTGCATATGTGCGTAAAATATACCGTTGTTATAATGTTATTTTGTTTAGAAACATAATAGACCTCTAAAGTTTTATCAATTATAAAACTATGACAATGTTATGTCATAGAACTGTACACAGTACAACCACTGGGTTACAAACTAAATGTTTTTATCTTATCGCATACTGTATATTCCCAACACACCATTCCATAAAAGATATTTCTAAAATGCAACTATAGTTGACTATAGTCATCATTGACTTTGTAAAATCCATATTGATATCATATGTCTGGATTAAATGTTATTCTAAGGAAAAGACTGTAACATCTCAATTATTTCACAAATTAGGCAAAAAAAGATATTTATATGCAACAACTGTTGTCATTGGGTGCTTTCAGCTAATGGATTTTCAGTTAGCTAAAGTAATTCTGGCTCGTATGACTTCAGCACAGTTGCCTTTTTGAAAGTAACGTGAAGAATTAGAAATAAACAAAAATTTCTGCTGTTTTTAACATGCCAGTGTGTCCTAAGAAACAGATTAATTGAGTACCATATATATTTAGGGAAAAAAATCATCATCTTACAGTGTATGGACACCAGGATCTATCGTATTTATTTTCTGTAACTCTTGGAATTCTTATTTACATTAAGGTAAAGGATAACCTGGGTTAGAAGCCTGGAATACAAAATATTGATATCAATGTTTCAATCCCCCCCTTTTTGCCAAACTGTATTTGTAATGTTTTTCTTTTTGTTTTGGTACAAGTTTGATCTTAGAAATTGAAAATCTTCAATCTACACTTTAGAATCATGGCACTGCTTATTTATGTCAAAGGGTGTGTTTCAATAAAACGTTCTCTTGATAATAGATGTTATACAGTACAGCAAAACAAACTGTTACAGCGTCTACTATCAATCTGATCAACACATTCCTGCTATTTTCTAGTATTTTGCCCAAATAAGACAATACCGGAGAGACTTTTGGTGTAATTTATGGGTTCTGTGTCAGCACAATATTTTCTTATTTGGGATCTGTCACTATTTTTGCCATATACTGTATTTCCTATTTTTCAGCACAATAATATAATTATTATTAATCAGCACAGATTGATTTTAATAGAATATTTCTCTGTCTTGGGGGGAAGGGAGGTTGACGATGGTTGTGGTTGTAGTACAGTATTTGCCTGTTTGATTGCAAGCACATCAGCTAACTATTTCTAAAGAAAACTGGAACAAAAAGAAGAATATTTAACAATGTAACAAACACTTATTTTACAAAATGTATCTTCTAGATTAGCTGAACATAGTTAATTTCTTATTTAACACATTTGCTTTGTAAAATATTACTTGTGTTCTTGGTATACCCCTATCTCAATGTAGTTCAAGCTGGGGAGAAATTTGTTTTACAGCACAATCCAGTACAACAATACAACAAGGACAGAACAAATGTTACCAACAGAGAACATGGTACAATGGTACAATGGTGTTACAGGAGGTAATACTTTACATCATTTGCAGCAGGGATTAAAGATTTCCTGAGTCTGTTTCTTTTACTTCAAGGGAAACAGAGACACCACCCAGATGGGAGGAGTGTAAATTCACAATGGAGGGAGTAAGACACACACTCCATAATGCTCTTGGCCTTCTTTACAGCCTCCTGTTTGTAGATATTTTGGTTCATTTGATTTGCCTCAGTTATTTTTTCTACTTATCTGCACTAAAATACTCATTTAGAAAATTGTGTATAATGTTATGACTCGATGAACAATTCCAGACCTGAAACATTTATTCTGTATGTACAGTACAAGGAGGAATTTAATACTATGCAATGAAGTTGTTTTATTTATGTTGATGTGCTTCAAATTAAGCTGCACTACCATGCTTTAAAACATTAAAACAAAAGCTGGGGGTTTTAACATGAGTGTTTTTGACTGGAAGGAATCTCTGCAGCCAATTGCACCAAACAGCAATTTAAGATACTTTGGCCACAAAGTTGATATATTGGAACCCCAAAACAAATGTGTGATCTTAGAGAACAGTTAGGAACATACAGGACAAATGACTCCTGAATGGCTTGATATATTACTGCATGTTTTTTAACACGGCTCTAAAAGGCATTTCAGCCTGCACAGCGTCTGAATACTGGAGTAATATGTTGATTAACACGCATCCATAAGGAAAATCATTTGCAGGGCAGCCAGAAGATGGCACCAAAACAGCAAAAACAGTAAAGTGTATCAGCATTTTCTCTAGTTATGGCTATTACCTAAAAAGCAAAACTGGAGTTCAAAAGATTTTTTTTTCCATCTGAATATTTTATTTATCCTTCAATTCAACACTGATAACTGATGCCTTGCTTGTGACCTCATTATATTATGTGTACTGTAGGTACTGATATTTTGTGTCCTGTTAAATATCAATATAAATGGATAATGTAAAAAACAGACCAATTTACTTATTAAAAAGGCTTTGTATGTTGCCCGCCT